AAAACTTGTGTCTTTTTATCTGTCAAGGTGTATAAATAGGCATTCTCCAGTGGGAGTTGGTTTTGAGCAGATCTCAGTCAACATAGTCTAAACAGATTCACTAAAGAGCTAGAGTAGCCATGCTCACCACATGCAGTGATTCACTGCAGGCAGTCAGAGCCTACTATTTGAGAGCACTGTGTCCTTCTGAAGGAGTTGGTATCACACCGAGATCCAACAGTCAACGGGCTCAGTGTTTGTTCATTCCATCTACAAAATCTCACCAAGGGCACACTTAAAATATTGTCAGCTTAGGGTTTTAGAATTGGAGAGCTTGTGGGTTTTTCTCCTAATAATATGAGTTTGAAATCCTGTCTTTGGTTTTGTTGAATTATTAGAATCCACAGATCTAACTGAGTCTTATTTTGAGTGTTGCTTTGGGCAGTGGACTAAGGTGTCTGTTTAGGCCATATATTCTATAGTAGGAATGCAATTTATTGTTGTAATGCATACAAACTCATTAACAAGTTCTAGGCCACAGGGGATATTTTCCATTGCAGTGGAAGTCATCTCAACTGGACAATCTTCAGTGCAACTGGCCATGCCTTCCCATGTCAGTGACTGACAGATCTAATTCTGCCTTTGTAGCCGAGAGCCTGTTAGTTAATGGAGTCGTGAATATTGTTACTCAGAGGCAACCTTCAGAGTATTAAAAGGCATTATTCCTGTTCTTCACTTGATATTTATCAAACAAGGTGTTATAGCTAATGAATGCAGTGTTATCTTCAAATAAATACTGTGTGTAGATCATAACTTAAAAGGGCTGAACATACAAGTAGCTTCATTATTGCTATGCAGTGACAGAGAGATGGGTTTAGTTTGCCTGTTTAAATCGTATGTGATGGAAACCCAGAGTGAATGTCCTCTCTGAGGGAAAAGGAAGGAAGCATTATGGGTTATATGATCGGATTCATAAGCTCCTTAGTACGTATATATTTCATACAGCTCTCAACTTGTTTTTCCCCCCATTTTTTCTTACATGAAAGCTGCTGAAATGGTGAAGCAGCAGTACTGCCTTGCAAGTACCAGAGTAGGTTTCCTTTTATAATTATCATTCTTGTCGTATTTATCCTTTCTTATGGAAGTGAAGATGCAGATATTTAAGAACCCTTCTTGCACAAAAAAGCCCAATTTCCGCTCAGTACTTAATTAGCACTTGTTTATGACACGGCATCTGATTTGATTTTCAAAACAAATTGCACAGTAAAGAGGCTGATATTTAAACTGTATAGTAACCACAGCTCCAGCTGTGACTCAAATATTGTAAGCCTTCAGGGGTTGTGTTTAGGCTTGGAATATAGGAACTCAGGCCTGTAATTAAATGTCCTCTAAAAATCAGCCTTTGTAGGGAAGGGAAAGAGGGTACCACTGAATTTTAAATTACTGACTTTTCAGAAATCATTCTGTTGTTCGGGGCCTTGCTAGGAACTGCAGAAATCAAATGGATTAAGAATGGAAGAAGCGATTACTAAAGGAAAAAAGGCAGGGGTTGCAGAAAAAAAAGATGAGCAAAGTAAGCTACTCTGGCTCATGGGTTTATAGACAACTGCAATGTATATAATTTTAATGTGTGGGTAATATATAAATTATAAGTTCTGTGGCCACCAAAAAGGCTACAGAGAAAGTAGGCATTTTATACAGATTAAAATTGCATTTCAGAACTGTGAATAAGTTGCTGATGGCTGTGGAATAAGCCATCTGGGCTGATGGAAGGCTCATTTTTAAAACAAGTCCTCAATAAGAAACGTGGATGTCTTGGAATAGGAAGGAGACAGGGTTATATTACAAATTAGTCACTCACCTAGATACAAACTTGGAATATTCACAAAATGGCATGATAGAAATTAGCCGTTAGAATGCTTTCAGAGTTACTTTTTGAGAAAAGCAAACACTGTCATGGCTATTGAAAAAGAGAGGAAAATTACCCGATAAGCCTAACTTCCAGTCATGGAAAATGCTGGAGCAGATGCTAAGAGAAAATACTATGCTTATAAATGATATTGAACCATGAGCATAAATGGTGTGTGCTCATGAAAGTACAAAAATGAGTAGATGTTGCTGGGCAATTAATTGTATTGCTGATAGAATTGCTTTGAATGGATCATAATTGTGGAGATTTTAGTGTTGATTGATAAAATACTACAGCTTTCAAACAAGGCAGTTGTCTGTGTCTGACATCTTTTACAGGCTGGAGGAAGAGGGGCAATATTTTGTTTATTAAATTGTCAAGCATGTATCAGTTCCTCTTCTGTCATTTTGAGGTTGTGTCTGCTGTCATTCAGGTACTGAAATTCACACCATTTTAACCAGATGTACTCACTTAATTACCTGTCTGTGCTGAAGAATGTATTCCTGGGGTCATTCACAGTGTGCCCAGGAGAGCCACAGGAGTTCAGAATCTAGGAAATTGGCTATAAAAGTTTAGCCAATAGTGAATCTCTGAGATTTTAATTAAATTACACTTTTCTATCAGTGCTTGTGTTTGATGTGTATGGGGGCTCACTTGTGCAAATATCCCACTTTAACAGTGTAAGTAACAATATGTGGGTAGTGACGTACCATATACTAGTAAAATTTACTTTATATAGCTTATTTTCTCTTAGGTGAGGGTAGATTTATCAAATGTAGAGGAGATACTTGAAAGGATTTTGCAAATATGGTGCTGAGGGATATGATGAGTCTTAGCTTCTCCTATTTGTGTATTTAACTTGTCAGCACTGAAAAATAAATTGAGTTTACAGTAGCTGCTGATCTGCTGAAACTCCTGATTGCTTTTATTGCTAATACTCAGCCAACTTTATGTTGAATTCACAAAGTATTGTATGGGTAAGAGTTGTCTAAATAGAAATACAGTGTTAACTTTGATACTGGGGACAATCCTGCATGAGTGAAATCCTGTTGATGATAATAGATCTATTAATACACTTACATATTCGCAGGACCAGGGTCTCCAAAGTAAGTGGTTTAAATCAGTGACTTAAATCAATTACTCAAACTGCTCTGGACTGATGGGCTTTACAAATGTTAAGCAGCCTGTGGGTTCTACGAGAAAGCTTGACTGTTATCCTTTAATTTGTAGGTTAGGTACCAGAAACAGAAAGTAATGAAGCAGTTTTTCACAATTTGTTGTATGATCCTGGGCAGATACAAGACTGGTATTCAGGTCTCTTTACTCCTGACACTGCAATTTCAAAAGGTCATTCTTTCTGCTTGTTTATGAAGGCTTTTTTTTCTTCCTGTCCTCCCCCTCCTTGATAGGTATACTGTACTGTGCTGTGCTACTTTGGAAAAGCAAATGAAGCACTTGAGCCAGGAGTAAAATGTGGGGTTCTATAGTGTTCTTGCCAGATATGTAGCACTTCATATAGTTTCTTCCATTTTCAAAGCACAAAGAAATGTCAGCAGTTCCTCTCAGCAAACCTGTGAGGTGGGTTAAATGAGTGTTGTCCTCATTTTACAGTAGTAGAGAGACTAACCATCCATGAAGTTAGTGCTGAAGTAAGGATTAGGTCTCGAAGCACGATACTTCTAGCTGTGTGAGAAGTCCCCTAAAACATAGTTTGTTAATGTGTTAAGCATTGCAAGTCCAAACTCAGCAGGTGAATGCAGTAACCAGATATACTTGACTTTAATTTATCAGCACAATGGTGGTTATTAAAATTCACATTTAACTGAGATTACTGGCTAGGACACCAGGGCATAATCTTAGTACTGCTTGGAAAGATTTAGGAGGATTTAAATTCAAACTGGAGGGAAGCAAAAATAACTAATGTTCAAAGTATATTGTAAAATCCTGTATTTGTACTTCTCTTTAGAGGCAAAATTTTAGTCTGTTCTAGCCCTTTATTTTCAAATTCCAAGGCTGGACTAGCTCCCCCCTATAGCTGTAGGGGTTAGTCATTCAGTGGTGATAAATTTTTCCTCTGCAACCAATTGTGGTGTTTAGTGTTACAAATCCAAGGCAGACAGAGTCTATACACACTAAATATTGTGCTGACCCAAGAACAAATGGGGGTAAACTCACCTTGAATAGAGCCATTCTGAAAATGAGGAGTGGTAGGGGCACACCTCTGTGTGGAGGGGAAGTACAGTAAATTAAGAAAGGGATTATGAAATAGTTTCCAGGAGTAAAAAAAGATCTCTGGACTTGGTGCCTACTGATGTCCTGGGTGGTCCTGTGGCTTAGATGTGATTTTCTAAGCATCTCCAAATTTTTCTGGGAACAGTTGAATCCACTTGACTGAGCGAATATCTTTGAACTGCAAATGAATGTCATTTGTGAATGGCAGTGTTTCATTTTTTCTTGTTCCATGCTTTTTTCTAGCTGTAAGTTACGCTATGTGTGTTACGTGCTTCCAGAGCATTTGGATGTCTTGCCTTTTCTTCAACTCGATAAAGCATGAAAACAGTAAATGGGGAGGAAATTATATTTGTCTTATCAGTTTGAGGCATAATTTATGTCTGTGTGTGAGTGTAGCTTCCTGTTACCCCAGTATTAAGGCTGCACCTCTGCAGGGATTTTCCTTAATCTTTTCATGTTGTCCAATGTCTGGTCTGCTGTGTTGAGGATGGTGACTGTGAAAACACTCTCATAGCTTGGCTACTGCTGTTTTGACACCATTTAGCTTTATGTAGTGGCAAAAGCATTAATGACCATTAGTCTTTGCTACTGCACCCACCACAGAGGCTGTGCTTATCCAAGTGCATTTGTGTGGAAATCTTAAAAATTCTTGTATATACAGAGTTTAAAATGGTGGAAATTGTAAAAATGGTGGTGGCATTATTAAAAAAATGTTCTTAAAGCAGCTGATATCAGAGGAGAAAACAAGAAGTAATCTGGGGACGAAACCTTCATACATGGCTTAAAAATCTGCGTTGTTTAAAATGCTCCAGGGTTTAGATTTAGGTTAGTTAGGTCCCAGTGTAAAAGGAGCTCTCTCTTTATGTCTATTCTCTCCTAGCCCCGAATACACATGCCAAAAGATGGATTCCAACTTATATCTTCTGGATACCAAGCATGGCTAAAGCAGGTTGGACTGTATTATTGTTATTCATCTCATGTGAGGGGCCGTGTTGGACACCTGTGCTTGTCTCATTAGTGAAGTACATAAATGAGGGTGTAATGAAGTTATGGTGCCATGCTAGCTGATACCACTCATAGCCATCACTGTTCTGTGTTTATGCATGCTGTGTTTGTATAACATTTTCTCACCAGTCATATGAATGTGCACTACCTGTAAATAAAAAGTTCAAAATGCAGTCACCTGAAAATGGAAAGGGTCAGAGTCTGAAAACAAATCTGCAACAACAGCTGGAATTACAGAATTAAAATGGGCCTTTGTACACAAACCTGCGTGATGGTGGTGGTGCTGGTAATAATGTGGAGGCCACTGGGTTAAAACTCAAGAGAATTGCATCTAGCATCTAATTCAGATCTGCCTGGGTGAAACAAGTATGGACACTTAACTCACATCACATAACAATTGTGCAGTTTGACATGGTCTGACACTGTGGGGAGTCCCCACTCAGAAGTGGCCTAGTGCTATATTACTCTGGCTATTATTAAAGGCCAGGCTTTAGTTGTCTCAGCAGTCTGCCTCCAGCAATTGCTGTCAGCTTTTCACTTTTGTGAGTGAAAAATCTCCCTTCAGAAAAAAATAGCTTAATTTACAAATTGCCTTTACAAATCTCTTCTGTCGTGATGTTACATGTATGATGAATCCTGAGGCCTTGAGAATATGTAACTTAAAGTTGCTGTTTTTATAGAAAGCCAGAATGATTGTGTTGTTATGGCAACAAAACCTGGAAGTATGAAAACAGCACAGATAAGCTGCATCCTGTTGTCGTGGCAACTGGAGTTGTGAAATGACGAAACATGGTGGTGAAGGCATCTGTGGTACTAAGAGCCCAACAGAAACAAAGAGCCAAATTGCTTGAGTGGGGTGGGAGAGAGTGAAAAACTGCAGCAGCAAAACTCTTGCAAAACATGAGAGTTTTATTGCAGGTGCTAACAGGATGCCTTTGATCATCTCCAGTTGTGTCTCACTATCTTATGTGTAGTAAGTAGTAACTTGTTTGTGCAAGTTGCTTACTGTTGTCAACTTAAATTAACTTGGGTGGAACTGGGAAGAGAGTGAATACCTATTGGATAATAGGTGTTGGGTCCTGTGTTATGTCTGCAAACAATTTCTTTGGATGAGTGATGTGTTGCAAAGGTGAAGCATGCTTTGAAGCTTCTCTCTGAGAGACCATTTCTCTCTCTTTCCAAGTCCACACTAGTGAGGGTCAGCTGGGACATTGAAATGGATGCTTTCCTGACTTAAACTTTGTTGAGCTGGAGGCAAGATGTCTCAGAGGGATCTCAACTCTGCAGTTATCGTCTCACAGAGCTCAAGTTTGTTGACCTATGGGGCATGGCATCAGTTTCTGTTTCTTATGTGATAGGTTGGGAGAACAATAGGAGGAGCATTATGTGGCTGTTCTGTTATTACCAATGCTCTGATGCAGGTGGGATGTATGTTTTTTTTTTTAACTGAAAAATACTGGGGGGGACCACACACCAAACCAAACCCAAAAATGCTGTCACTGAATTTTCCAAGGAGACTTTCACATCATTCAACCTCAAATAACAGAACTCGTACTCATCTTTTTCCTTGTGGCTGCTTTACTTTTAATTTTTAGTTTTGGTTCTAAAGTCTTTAGCTTAAATCTTCTTACTCCTTGACCCAAGGAAAAGTTATAAACCTGAGCTTGTGTCATCAGCAAGTGCTGTCCTGGAAATAGCTTTGCTAATCCAATTTCAGTGCTGTGATTTCACCACAGGAAGTAGATGAGTAAGGGGATTGATGCAAAGAGTGGAAACTTTTGATCAAGAGGGCTCTCCTGAGAAGCAGGGAAGTTACGTTTCTTTTTTTTGATGTGAGACTGATTTGCTGTGGGATATATACCAAAGGTCCTACCTGTAGGATTCTTTAAAACTGCATTTTGGAAAGAAAGACACTTTTGATGTGTTTAAAGGCAGTAATTTACACATGCATCCTGATGGAATGCTGTCTGTGCATCACGTTTATCCTCCTGATGTCTGTGTTTTTAAACAGGACCCTAACATAATGATTTTTTATCTCAGCATAGCTGAGTATTGATCTGCTGCTGCCTGACATACAGGGTGTGGGAAGTATCCCAGTAACACATTGTATTAATGTGCGCTAAAAGCAATTTGTATTACAGATGAGATGGAGGAAGATGGAGTTCTGCAAGACTGGACGCATACTATAAATACCCATAAACCTGCCAATTTTAGCTAAAAACAGTGCTGGCTGGATTTGAATATTTTCAGCCTACTTAAACTGGAGATAATCATTGAGCACTACCTGAGCATGGGTCGCCCACACTGATGCCATTACTAGGTTTTTATATTTAATATTGCTGTGCTGCAGTGTGTTGTATTCCTATGTGGGCTAGAGGAAATAGAATGCCAATGGCCAGAAATACATGTTGCTCTAAGAACTGCATTTTAAGTAACCTGCAAAGCTCTCTTTAATCCAGCTGTTTCCTGTGAGTTCATCTTTTACAAAAAGGCAAATAACTACAGTTCATTTATTAAGCCTCGATCTTCATTTAAGCCTTTCTTCAAATGGCAGCATTGTGCTGCTAGCAGTCTGTAACATCCTGTCACCTAGATGCTGACCCTTTGAAGATAAGCTGCAGTTGACTTCTGAGGAGTGGGAGGGGGACAGTGTTTGTGTATAAATATGATTAATAGACATGACATTCCAATTCCTATATTGTATTGACACCTATGATTTAAGCCAAACTGAAATTGGACAGAAGAACCTAATTAGCTGAAACACTTACAAAACATTATTTTGATTACATAAATAGGAAGTTAAAAGTATTATTTTAGGTGGTTTGTGAAACATGGCAATTCAGAATTAAAGCTAATTCTTCCCGTTCACATACCGTTGTGAGCAAGTACATATCACATAGGGTATGTAATATAATTCAGTCATCTGAGCCTCTCTGCCTCCCACTGGCTTTTGGAGTAGAATCTTTAAAGCCAAGTTATAAACCTGTAAGTGTGTTTTATGCTGGAAATTCTTGATGCTACCTTTGCTAGATTGGTACCAGCAAAGGCCAGTATAATCAAAACAAGGCACTTCAGATATTAATGGTCTGCACTTCATTCAAGTCAGCTGGAAAAGAGAGTATAAAACCAGGACTGTGGTAAAAACAGGATTCTTCAACTAGAATTGCACTCCCCTAGGAGAAAAATGCAATGATTCTGGAAATACTTTGGTTTTGCAATTTTGTCATTTAGCATCTCCTCCTTAATTCTAAACCATATATATTCTATTTCCAGTGGATCCATATGCTTTTTAAAATTCAGTACTAATTTCTTCAGTGGAAAGTAGGAATAAGCTTGCTTTCTGCAGTTTATTATTAATACTTGGCACTCACACAGTGCTTTGAGAACACAAAGTCCTATGCAGACATATCAGTTATCCGTGAAACACTTTTGTGTGGTAGGTGCATCTCATAACAATAATCCTGAGAGACTGTATGGAATTAAATAAAACTAGAGATGAGGGAAAAGCTAATGAAACCTCCATTTCATCTCTTGACCAACGTAGGTTTGTTATCCACAGTTTGTTTGATGAAAATCGAGACCAGAGTTGTAGAAATGTCCCAACTGAAGAGGTTTCAAACCATTTCTTAGAGTAGGATTACATATATTTTTTAAGCCTCATAGTTGTCCAGGTTCAGTGATGGTTAGGCAGTTGGTATATTGCTCTTTCTGCTTTTTATTGTAAAGGTGTTGATTCACCATTCTCTCATAATTGAGAACACAGCCTCTGAGGTCTCTCTCAGGCGGGGTAGTTCTGTTATCCTTACTGTGCAGATGCAGAACTGAGATGCTGTGTTACTCTGCTTAAACTCATGCAGAATGCCTGTGTCAAATAATTAGGTTTATCTCTTATGACATAATAAGATCCTAAATTGTTCAGAATTCCTACAAAATCAGGCTTTGGACATGATGGATCTTAATGACAGCTGCGTTTTCTTGTTTGTGAAAGAGTCTAATGCTCTTGGTCTTGTGACATCTCTGTCTAGCCTGCAGATAGTTTCATGGTTTAGACCTTGGTAAGATTGTTTTTAGTAAGTTTGGGTAGGGCTTGCTTTTAACAACATTGTCTTTGGTATTGCTTAAAGCAGCACACACAAGTCTCTGCATGTTATCCTTCCTAAAGAAGGGAGTGGCATCTGAATCTTAAAGCTCCACAGGTGCACTGGTTTAGATTTATCAGCTTCATGGATTAGAGAGCTGTAATTACTAAAACATTACTATTGTCTAGTTCAGATATGTTCTACGCAAATTCCCTCAAGCACTTGGCATTTGAGGATCTTGTACACCATATAGATGGGAAGTTGGCCCCTTACTGGTGCGTGTAATTTCTGTTGATCTGGAATCTGGGAGGCTGAACTCCACTAACCACTCTTCGGGGAAAACGTTTCTTCACAAACATTTACCTAAAAGCTGTGATTTGATACTCCCAGATCCCACTCAGGTAAGAAATTGTTTGGATAATATGAATATGTAAACCCTTTTCTATGTCCCTTATCTTTGATATTTCAGAGTAGTTAGTGAACTGGAATCTCTTGTAAAAAGTTACTGTAAGCTAGGGAGTTACTAGAAGATTAGAGAAGAGTTTGCAAATATGTACGTTAAGGAAAATTTACTGAGCAATTACATGAGAAGTGGGAGGCTGAAGGAAAAGGAATCATTAACAGCAGTTTGAGCTGTATGTGCACAGCAAAGCTTGCAGAATGTAGTAACCCCCTGAGAAATAGGGTGAAGGGGAAAACCACTGCACTGAGGTCAGTGATCTGTACTGCGGTGAGAAGTCCAGAAACTCCTATGTTTGGAATCTGGGAAGAGTGTTACAATTGAACCCTGGTAGCATGGCTCAGCCTCTGATTTGTGAGAGCTGATTGTTTTAAGGACAGATCCTATAGTTGCCCCAGTATCGCG